GAAGGAGGTTCAATAATGGTATAGGGTTGTTAATAAAGATCTTAAAATTTAACTTTTTAATGTTTGTCAAGTTTTCTATTTGTTTAGAAATATTTGTGAAGGAAACTAAATAAAGTATATTTCATGAACTTATTTGTAGTTTCTTTATTCACTGAGATCAAAAAAAACATAATCGAAAATATAACTGATAGATTTAATAGAATTACTGTTGTCTCATCACTGGTCTTAAATTAATTGCAAGAAGTGTATATATATATATATATATATATATATATATATATATATATATATATATATATATATATATATATATATATATATATATATATATATATATATATATATATATATATATATATATATATATATATATATATATATATATATATGTATATATATATGTATATATAATAATAATAATAATAAATCATTTAAAAGTGATTTATTTTTTGAAAATCATTTTTGTCATATTTTTTAATTTCTGCTACATTTTAACTTTTCATTTAAATATATACTTATTTTCATTTTTTTAGAATAAAAACTATAATTATGTGTATATATATATATATATATATATATATATATATATATATATATATATACATATATATATATATATATATATATATATATATATATATATATATATATATATATATATATATATATATGTATATATATATATATATATATATATATATATATATATATATATATATATATATATATATATATATATATATATATATATATATTCAAAGTTAATTCTCAATTAAACACTTCTAATATTTGCGCTTTAGAAAAGATTTCCATCATAGCCTTAAAAAAGTGTTCTTCAGAACTCTCTTCAATTGCTGCTAAATTTTTAAAAAGAGCTAAATAAGTGGTTCCAATTTTTCAAAACTCTAAAAAAGTTGCAAAAAAATATTGCAATAATGCAGGCTTTCCTATATTGATGAATAACAACCATCTTACTCAAAGACAAAGTCTAAAAGCACATTGTAAATGTAATGAGACTTGCTTTATCTGCCAAGCTTGAGCCACTCTCCCATTGTTGGAAGATTGCATTTCTTTCTTTTTTCTACAAACATCATCATGGTCAATGCCCAAACAAGCTATCAAGTTATTACGATAAACCAAAACTCATTCTTGCATGGCTTTTTTTCAACAAGTTGTATCTTTTTACTGTATCTGTCCCTTCATGCTATAAAAACTTTTATTGATCTAGTTTTTTTCCATGCACATCAAAAAATCCTTATAACTCTTAGCCATCTTCATGTTTTTCTTTTATATACAACCTAAAAATTTTTAAGTTAACTATTACCTAGTATTTTTACTTGTTCTCTGTTTTAAAGTAACTCATAACTTAATAGTGGTTGCTTACAATCTTGTTGGAAGTAAACTAGAGTTTGAAAATATATAAATATATGCCAGAATTTAATAAACAATAAATGTAAGCACAAAATTATAATATATAAAGTATTATAAATTATAAATTCGAGCCCCTGTCAATGGTCTTAGTTTTAAAACAGTTATGCTTTTGAAAAAAAATTAATCAAAAAATGTTTATTTATTGACCAATATGTTGGTCTAGACAACTAGCAAAACTGTACAAACCCAGCATAAAAAATAAATCAGTAAATAAACCAGGCTATAAAAAATTTAAACAATAGAATTTTATAACTTCGAACTTTATTGCATTTTCATGTTCACACTATAAGATTCACACTATAAGATTCACACTATTTGCATTCATTCAATTTTGAAAAATCAGTGAAGGAGAGATTTTTTAATAAAAATATTATATATATGTACCTAATTATTTTATATGCAACTTTATATATATACTTAACTATTTTAAATGCAATTTTTTTTATATACCGTAAAACAGGGTGAATAGAAACAATTTTTAACTTTGGTATAAAATTTTGCATACTTGCAGTTGTTCTAGATAAACATTTTTTTGCCCAAACACAGGTCTCTGTTAGACCTATTTGTTTATGGTATTTAAATTTTTTAATTTTTTTTGATTTTAAAGAAAAATAAATAAAACATGGTGTTTCTATTCACCTCGCAAATGGGGGTGAATAGAAACAGTATTTCAATTTCATACGTTTTTCTATTGAAACGAATCGGTAAAGAATAGAAATAGAAAAATCATATATTTTTTAATTTGTAAATGGATAAATACAAATTTATTTCTCAACATAACATAAATGTAAGTAAAATTGAATAAGTATACATTTGCCGTATTTAACAAGATTAAATTATGATTTTTTTATTTATTTAATAGTTTTTTAGTCTGTTTTTTTATTATAAATTGCAATTAAAAATAAAGTGCAATTATACTAATAAACTGTGTAATCAGACAGGTCATCTTTGAAAAATATCATGCTCTTGAATTGCGCACTCAAGCACAATACTGGGGAAGATAGTTTTAGGATGACGTTGTTTCTGGAGACAAGAGATTGTTCTTCAGTTGTTATAAACTTATTAGTTTGATGAACTCTTTTCAAAAATGTTACAAAAAAAACCATTGTCTTCAAAGTAAGCAAACTTGCATATATAACATCTAAAAGATGCTTTTGTTTTACCATAAACTTTGACCAACATGTAGTCATCTTCATTGATGACGAGGCTTTCACCTGAGGCCCTGTCAGTACTTACATCCAGATCAGGGAAATCTGAAGAGTCACTATGCTGCACTGAAAAATCATCTTCATCTTCTGATGATAACTCCACACGCGTTTGGCTGAACTTGTTTCAGCCAAACGTGTGTTGAGTTCAGCCAAATTTTATTTGGCTGAACTTGTTTGGAGGAACATGTGATTTGGGGATTTAAGCTCTCATCAACGTCAACAAAGTCCTCAACACCGATACTTTTGCCAGGTTTCACATTAACTTTGTTTCTTTTTTTGCTTATATTAGGAGTCTGATCTTGCCTCAGACTCTGAAGGAGTTCTTTGAAACTATTGTCAACCGCTTCATTGTTATTTTCGAGATCCTGGTTTTCCTCTTCATCGATAATTTGTGGAAGCATAGTGAGGACTTTGTTCCTGTTTAAAGGTGCTATACCACATTTCTTAAAACCGGCGATCACATTTTATTCCTTCAATGAATCACACAATTTTTTCAACAATGTTGGAAATTATTCTTAAAAACAGTTGCTTCTGCTCTTCCTGGACCTTTTTTCCACTCTTCGATAATCTGTCGCCATGTCGATTTTAATGGCCAAAAAAATGCCACGTCTAGAGGTTGTGTCAGCTGGGTGGAGTTAGCTGGGAGAAAAATAAAACAGATATTATTGTCTTTACACAACTTTACAGATTTTAATGATAAATGGGAAGACAAATTGTCCCAAATCAGAAATTTTCGACCTGTTTGTTTTTTCAGGTATGGAAGAGCAACTGTCAGTATCCAATCTTCAAAGCAAAAGAAATCAAACCAGCCAGACTTTGTTTGATTGTACCTGGCATTTTTTGGCCCACTCTTTGTCCAGCTTTGGTACAAATGAATTGCCTTGTACACAACGTAAGGGGGTAAAATAGTGCCATCTGCAGCGGCTGTAAACATCACAGACGTAGATGCTTTTGATGAGTTTATGATTCTTTCTGGATATTTTGTCCCTCTTCGTGTAATGACCTTTGGTTTACCAGGGTCATCACTTAGATTCGTCTCATCGTAGTTAACAATATTAGATAAAGACGCATCCTGTAATTCATTTGTAAGTTCATCAAAATAGCTGTTAATTGTATCTGATGTCACACCAGCTCTTGATCGTTTAATATTTTGAAACATTCTCACAGCCTTATGACATTTTTAAAATGTTTCAACAAAGTCATGGCCTGGGAGGTTATGTTTAAACCTCTTAACTTTCCCTATTCAGTCTAAGAAGTCTTTTATAAGAAGTCGTAGAGTTGTAGTGTCAATAGGATAGCCCCATTCGCCACATATCTTCAGCCTTTCAACAAACAGTTGTTCTTCTTCAAGAGATAAAGCTGTCTGACCACCATGTTTCTTTATATTAGGATCTTTTTTCAAGTATTGATATATAATACTATAATGCAAACCATGTTTTAAAGCAGACTTCAAAATACTGAGACCCTTCTGTATGTCAGAAACTGCCTTTTTAATTTTTTGGGTTGTGCTTTTTGTAGCCTCCTGTAACCACCGGTTTGTAGTATCTTGGCATTTTACAGGGTCCTGAAACAAAACAGCTGTGTCAGTTAAGTGTCTAACATAAATATATAGCACACAGTATGTATTTTATACAGTATAAACGTATTTTTGTAATAAATTTTTTTTGTGGTGTGTATAAAAACACTTGAAATTATGTGTTTCTATTCACCGCTTAAATTCAGAAAACCTAACTTAAAAAATAAGAATAGTTATTAAAATAATATTGTTAAAGTTAAAGCTTAAAGTTAGCCTAAATCTTTTATATGAATAATTAAACTATGTTCACCTCACTGTTTCTATTCACCCAGGTTTACGGTACTTTATATGTGCATTAATTTATTTTTAAACTGTCGTTCATTAACAAATTGTAACAATAAGTAAATAAAAGTTATGTATTCAGATTCAGTAAATGCAAATAAAATTTTGGCAGCATGAATCAAAACTGCTGCATTAATTAGATCAATTATTGCTCCGCATTCTCTTCAAAATATTAAAACAGTTGTTGAAAAAAATAATTTTTATGAAATCGGAACAGATGCTAGTAATTTAAACATGGTTCAACTAAAGTTTTTCCTTTTTGCATTCAATATTTTGATATGTATAAAATAACACAATTTGTTATTACATATTAACACAAGTTGTTAAAATTTTCTGCTTTGCACAATGAAACAGCTACAAGAATCATTTACTTTTGTATTGAAACTTTAAATAAATTTAAATTAGATTTAAATAAATGTGTAGCTTTCTGCTCTGATAATACAAATATGGACTTCAGTAGTATTTGAAGAATACTACAGAAGTCCATATTTGTAATTGTGAAGCCGTGAACCTTAGTCATATGCGGACAAATTGGAACAATGTTTCGATATATATTAACATAAGTAGCTATAAAAAATGTATATTAAAGATGGCTTACTTATAAGAATATATATAATTAAGTGTAGTACAGTGTTTTATTAATGACACAACAATGGCGCTACGAGTAAGGGACGATTTGACTTTAGATGACCCAGATAATGCAGAAGCATGGATTAGATGCTTTTCGGCTTCCGCACGTTCAAAGAAATTAAAAGATGAGATAAACGGTAGCTACGAGATAACAGATTTATTTATGGTAAAAGCAGGGATTGAAGCAGTTAAAAAGATTTCTCTTATGGTATATCCAGAAGAATTAGAAAATATGATGTTCGATGATATTAAAACTGTTGTTATGTCTCATTTGAGACCTCAAAAACGACTAATTATTGCTGAAAGAGTTCGATTTTTAGCATTAAAACAGCAAAACAATGAAAACATCGTATCATATGCACAAAGATTACGCGAAGCTTCACGCTTTTGCAACTTCGAAAAATTGGGAAGAGATGGCCAAAGTGCGGAAGATGATTTGATTCAAATGAGATTGATTGATGGTCTCCAATCTTCTGATCAGAGAGTTAAAGCTCTAGAAATGATACAGAGTGGAGAATCGCCTAAACTAGGAGCATGTATTGATTTTATCAGGCAACTGGAGCAAATATCCTGTTTTAGTATACAAAACAACATCGAAAACAGCATAGACCTTCCTTCAGTTAATTACATTGATAAAAATAAAGAAAGAATGATTAAATGCAAGTATTGTGGCCTTCAACACCCACCTAGGAAATGCCCAGCATTTGGGAAGAGTTGTAAAAATGTGGAAAGCTGAACCACTTTAAAAACGTATGCAAAGCAAACACTAAATATGAAAAAATAGTAGAGGAAATAGAGAACGATGATGCTAGTGTGTATTCCATTAACATGAATGATACAAACTCAGAGATTAATGTAAAAATTAATGACTACAATATAAAAATTCAAGTTGACACCGGAAGTCAAGTCACAATTATTCCCAAAAATTTTTGGGAACTAAACCTGTCTAAACCAAAATGTCTAAACCAAAATTACAAAAATGCTACCTTCGCCTGAGACAGTTTGATGGCACAGTTATAAAAGTCCTAGGCGAATTTGAGGCAACTTTGGAAACTGAATCAAAAATGAATATTGTACTAATTATTGTTGCAGACTGTACAAAAAATCATGGTTTAATTGGTATGGATGTATTAAATTTCAACGCCACAAAATTAGTAAATAGTATAGAACCTCTTGTTCATGGGCGTTTAATTAATTACAAAGCAAATATTCTGTTAAAAAACGGCGTACAACCAACTTATTTTGAAGCTCGACCTCTTCCTATCCACACAAGACCACTAGTGGTAGATAACCTTAATGGAATGATACAGCAAGGGTTGCTTCAAAGGGTTCCTCCTGGTGGAAGCAGATGGGCTTCACCGCTTGTGGTTGTTAGAAAAACAGACGGAGATTTACTCATTTGTGCGGATTACAAAATAGGTGTTAACCAAAAAATATGCTCAGACTCATATCCCATCCCAAACATTGAGACCGTATTTCATAAAATGGCAGGGATGAAATATTTTGCTAAAATTGATCTCAAGGGAGCTTATCATCAAATTGAGATGGACAAAGAGGCACAAGAAATAACAACAGTTAATACCCCTATTGGATTATTAAGATGGACCTGTTTACCTTTCGGAATTAAGACTGCAAGTGTGATATTTCAAAGAGCGATAGAATCTGTTGTTGGCGATATTATTCCCAATATGATTATATTTCAAGACGATATATGTGTCGGTGCTAAAAATGCTGAAGAACTCAAATCGAATTTAAACAAAATATTGAGCAAATTGAAGGAATCGGGAATGAGCATAAATAAACGAAAGTCAGTGAATGAAACAAAAAGTCTTTCATTTTTAGGATATGAACTGTCAGAAAAAGGAGTTACCCCAGATCGTAATTTAGTCAGCAAAATACTTGGAATAAGTCCTCCTAATAATAAAAAGGAACTCGAGTCATTTATAGGATTAATAAACTTTTATGGTCGACACATTGATAAATATGCTGAAAAAATTTTACCTTTAAACAATTTAAGAAAGAAAGGAGTTACATTCGAATGGAGGAAGGAGCATCAACAGGCATTTAAATTGCTAAAAAGAAACCTTTGTGAAGAACCCGTAGTGAAGGTTTATGACATCAACCAAAATCTAGAGTTAACAACAGATGCTAGCGAGAAAGCTATATCTGGAATACTTTCACAGAATGGCCATCTGGTATTGTATCTCTCACGAACTTTATCAGACACTGAGACAAGATATTCTAATATTGAGAGAGAAGCTTTAGCTATTGTATGGTCTGCTCACAGAGCTAGGCATTTTCTGTTGGGTAGAAAATTCAAATTAATATCAGATCACAGGCCATTAGAGTTTATATTTGATAGTAACAAAGAATTGCCCAAAGTCACATCTGCTAGAATTTGAAGACGGGCCATACAAATGATGGAATTTGACTACGAAATAAGCTACAAGAAGGGAGAAAACATTCCTCATGCTGACGCATTATCGAGATTGTCCTTTCTACCACAAGATGAAGAGAAAGACCAAGAAACATTTATACACTTAATCGAGTCAGGTATAGTGAACCTTGAGCAAATAATAAAAGAAACAGAAAATGATAGGGTATTGATGGACATCAAAACCAGAATTAGGAAGAATAATTGGAGCAGATGCTCGGTAACAGAAAGACCCTATAAATCTATTAGAAATAAACTGACTATCGAAAAAGGAATTGTGTGTAATGGTGACCTCATTGTACCTCCTAAGACAATGAGAAAGATCTTCATCAAATCGATCCATGATGATATACATTGTGGCATAATGCAAACGCAATGTAGATTAAAATTAGAAGCCTGGTGGCCTGGCTACTGTCAAGATGTTGAAGAATATGTGAAAAACTGTGAAAAATGTGCCGAAATAAAAGTGAAGAAGGAAAGGTTTATTTTCACTTGGCCATTACATACATGGCCAAGTGAAAATAAACCTTGGTGTAGAGTACATATGGATCATGCACATGTACAGGGTATCGGACTGTTTTTGATTTTAGTAGATTCTTTTTCTGGATGGCCGGAAGTTATTAAGGTAAATAACCGTGAAGCGACCACTGTAAAGGCAGTACTACAAAGTGTTTTTTCAAGAAATGGAGTTCCAGAGGTTTTAGTATCCGACAATGCTGCGGAATTTCATGATACCACCTTACACCAGTGGCTAAAGAAAGTAGGTTGTGTACCTTATAAGACTCCACCTTACCATCCTCAATGAAAGAATGAAAGAATGGTAGAGACAGTAAAGAATGGTTTAAGAGCTTATTCACCGGACAAAGGTTTATTATGTGGATATTTAAGCAGAATGCTTTTAAGTTACAGAACAATACCTCATGCAGGAAGATCAAGGAGTCCTTCCAAGATGATGGGAAGGCAGTTTTGATCCCCTCTCACCATGAGTTTCGAAAGTGGGAACTGTTAACTGTTACAGAAGTCCATATTTGTAATATCAGAGCAGAAATATGTAATGCTTACTATAATTTAAAAGAATCAAACAAAAAAATATAAACAATCCGTTGCCTAGTGCACATCATGCATAACACAATACAAACTGCAGCAGATTATTTTACAATATAAGTTTTAAAAATATTTACATATTTTTCAATATATACTGTCAGGACTGAAAATGTTAAAGAATTTTGCGATTTTGTGGGAACACAATATCAAAATATTTTGTCACATTTAAGTGCACATTGGCTTTTATTGCAACCAGCAGCTTAATACTTAAAATTTTTCTAGGGTTAAAATAATTTTTTCTTTCAGAGGAAAAAACCATTTTAGCTTTTTTTAATGATCCTTTGAGTGAAGCTTACTTATTTTTTATTCACTACCAACTGCATGTATTTAAAAAATGAATTAAAAGTATTGAAGCAAACAAAAATTGAAGTTTAACATTGGAAGAGACACTAACGATCATTAAAGAAAGACGAAATAAACACTTAACAATCAATGTAAAAAATGCCTTGAGACAACTAAAAGATGAAATATTGCAAGTTAAGATGTCAAATTTTAATTGTGAAATTGGTGATTTTTAGACAACTGCATACAATTATTGCGGAAGAAAACAATTTCAAGCATAACAGTATTTTCATGGATGTTACTTTTAGAAGTAGCTGCATGGGAAAAAGTCGAAATTACTTGTAAGTTTCTCCAGGATAGAAGAGTTGAATTAAATGATTCACTTCTCTTTTATTAAATGAGTATTGTAAAAAAAGTAATGATTGAAAAATCAACAGAATAGAAAAAGTTTAAAATGCTTACATATGAAAAATGATTGACATTTTTAAACTTTGCGATAACATTGAAGAGTATTTTGAAACTTTAAAAATATGTCAGTTTATGTTTTTTATTCCACCTCATAATGGAAACGTAGAACCTATTTTCTTTCTAATGATTGCACAGTAGGCAAATGAAATCAATTATAACTATCCACTGTAGAATCCTTACTATTAATGTTAACAAACTATGATTTTAACTGGAAATTTTTGAATATGTTATTTTGGATAAAAAAATTGCTAAAGCAAGTTGGATTAGGCAAAAAATATGATTAATTCATTTGATTCATAACAATCCACTAACAATATACAAAATATATACTTATTTAACGAGTTCAGACTGATTACTTTGGTAACACATGACTATAAACAAGTGTCCATAGCACATTTTAGTAGTAAATATAAGCAGAGAAAAAAGCATTTTTTGTTATTTGTTTGCTAGCTCCTCAGAATATGCCTTTACTTTAATACGGATGCAAAAAATTTAAATATATACTTTAGGCTCTTTTTTGAAGCATTTTAAGGCCTCTTCAGGTTGGAGCTTAAGAGATCACCAGCCAAGTAATTTACATACCTTTTACATTACAAGTAATTTACATACTTTTT